GACACTGGTTTGAACTTGTCATTGGCAAATGGTCATCTGTATCAATTACTTTACTTCGCCCTTCATGTTGCCTATCAATTGAAAACTCTCTGCGAGAACACTGCGATGCCGTTGTCAATCTGGGAATATCGATGATTTTCGTTTTAGTTTATGGTGACACCGTGGTGACTGCACGAGGTTACTAACAGCGCCCATTCATTTAATCGGGAGTCGTAGTTTGTATCATTACATATGGTCATGTCTCTGAATGAATAGATTTAATCTATCACGTCATATATCGCTTGAAGGCTGTTTGTGCGCATAATGTGAAACTTTCGTCATAGGTATCATAAGTAGTAATTTCGGAGTTGGCATCTTCGACTGACGATTTTACAGTGATTATTACGCAGACTCATTAAATCGGTCTGTGTTAACGTTGTCATTCGCGACTTTAAATTTACGTAACTTTCATAAACCTGTTTCCTCTGTAATTAATTCACTGATATTGCATATCAACAGAAAGCTTCCTCTGAGCGTAATGCAATAAGTTTTGTCACAATATTCAAGTCGACCATTTTTCTTTGCTATTTTCATATACTTGTACTATGTGTTATTCACTGTATTCTACCAAACTGTTAAACAGAAATGGATGATAACAGTTCGTTTAATAAAATTTTCACTGAATATCAGTTGAATAAAATACTGGAAATTGAACAACGATGCACCAAATCAAAAATTAACTTTCTATATCATATGACAGATTTTTATTATACAAAGGTAGTATATCACTGTACCATCTTTTAGCTATGCGCGATCCCACGAAAGTAAGTAATAATGTCTCTCTTATGATAATCATATGGTTTATTGTTTCGTCCGAGTCTTGACTTTTCTTCAAAGGTTGACTGATGGTTAACGATCGGCAGCAAGTTGTTTCTAGTATATTTTACGGCCCTACTGCACTTGACGAAGTCCATCACTTACCTTCCACACCGCTGGGTGTAATTTTTCAATTCCGTATGAATTCGTCGATGGGCTGCCTCCGCACGGCTGTTCGTACTGCCTTCACAGTTAATCAAGCTACGATGAACAGGACACACTTTCCTGGAAACAGTGTGCAAAGTCTCGCCTTATTTCCTCTACGATTCAAGCGACCGACATAGTTGTTTTCGACCCCCCCCCCAAGAAGCGGCTTCGATTCATTGGGAAGCCAGCCGGTCATCAAGTACAGTAATAGGTACAAACGCTAACGCTGTTATCATCCTAGCTTTCAAGGCAAAATCAACATCTGCGTTATAAGCATTAAGCAAACGCAGTTCGCCCAAATGCTTCTTCATGCTGTACTTCAAATAGCAGAAAGAATCATGAAGCTGAACACTTGGAAACTCCTTCTTCTTCGAATGCATGGGTGCAATTTTGAAATCACAAGATATCGAATTTGAATGAGGTTCTGGCACCGCTGATTTGATCACAGAGCATGTTGCTTGCTTCGCAAAAGCGCAGGATGATCACCACCAAACCCTTCCATAAGCACTATAAATTTGCATATCTACGGTCATGAGTCGTGGATCATGACTGCAAAAGTTCGATCCCAGATACAAGTGGCTGAAATAGGCTGTCTGAGACGATAAGCTGACCTTACGCCTCTCGACATGGTCCGGAATACAGACATCCGCGAGAGCCTTTGTGTACAGCCGCTGCTTCTGCAGATTGAGAAGTCACAGCTGCCATGGTTTGGGCACGTGTTTCGAATGCCTCCAGAAGAGAAGGCGAAACTACTATTTCTTGCCCAGCTGACCAGCATATAACCCAGTGAATGACTAAGAATGACCTGGTGCAAATATATGGAAGGTGTCTGCGCCAGACTCCAGATGTTTTCACGTCACAGCTCACTCTAGCACAGGTCCGGAAAAGTTGTCTGACGCCTGTGCTTCCGTGACCCAAAAGGAGAAACGATCATGGAAGACGTTTTTGAACCTTTTTATTTAAATTTTTTAACGGCTTTTTCTTAAAAAGGGTGTTCATAGTAGGTAACTTCTTTTCATCCAGATCCACTAGTTGATCACTGGTTTGGCCGTAATTAAATCGGTCAACGGGGCATTCTTTTCGTTCCTGCGATCTGACTTCGGCGTTAAAGTTACCAATGACGTACTTAATTGTTCTTTCCGTGTTTACGCATCTGTTTTTCGCAAAATCTAAAATCTCTTGCTTGATTTCTGTGCATATACTTGAGTCTTCTGGAGTTTGTATCACCTTCAATCTCTCAGAACCAGTCTTGTACACCTCTCTAAATGCCCTTTTTACTGCATTGTTCTTTAATCTTTCGTGAAAAACGAATTCTATTCCTTCCAAGTTCTTCAATTTAGTTAGCAAGAGTTATCTGTTGTCGATTTCTAACAGTCTCGCCTCCTCAACTTTGTTGGGTCCTACAATGTCACATTTGATTTTCCTATTTTTCTTCCAGGTCTTAAAGCCTTGCATCACCTAGAATTG